TTGTTAGAAGTGTGTTAATGTAGAAATCCTGTGTCTCGAATAGGACTAGTTGAAATTAAGTAGTACAAGACAAGCATAGACATTGCTTTATGAAGTTGCAACACCTTTTGTGATTTGAATCCGTGTGCAATTCTTAAGGGAACAGTGTATTTGCTTACCTTGTCTGTGTTTGAACTAAATGTGGTGATTGCGTAAGCTTCTAGTATTAGCATGATTGTATGTTCAATGGACCACATTTTGAATGCTCAATCTTAATGCTCCAGGTTATGGTTGAGATTATGTCTATGAATGTGCCTGAATGAGCCAGATTTGAATGCTCAAATGTATGTCTTTGAATGCTGCAGGTTATGGTTCTTGAAACATTTTTAATTTGTTAAACATTTGCAATCTGTTAAACAGTTCAGCAGATTATGGTAATATTTTCCAGGTTAATGGTAATATTTTATGTTGAATGATGGAAAATTGATGTTGAATGATGGCAGGTTATGTCTATGAATCTGCCTGAATGGGCCAGATTTTGAACAAATCCATTCAAACAGATCCATTCTGTGACAACCCTCACCACTGATTAGTGCTAATCTATGATTAAGCATGTTAAATGACTGATTGACTGAAATTCTGAACTGATTGATTGAGTGTATAGCTTAAGTGCATTTCTATCTGTTGACTGTTGAATGATCTGTTCATGTTTTGAGCTTTAAACTGTAAATTGAAGGCCTTATCGGTGGCCGAATCTGAAATCGAGTAATGTTTTATGCTAATTAGAATTTATGTGATTTTATGGTATTTAATTGAAATGTGATTTGGTATGATTAAATTAGATGTAATAATGTTAAATTACATAAGTTGGCTTTATTTACCTAGTTGCATTGAGTGGTCTTTCTCTACATCAATATTTGGGACTTGATTAGGAGCTTTTGACACTTTATTCTCAGCCCCTTTCCTTACAAAAAATCGCCTAGAGAGAGAGAGATAGGAGATAGATTGATTTCAACCAAAAATTGGCTTGGAGGGTTAGGAGATTGAAGGATTCCTTGCATATTGAGCTCTACATTTGAAATTGGAGACTTAAGGTAGAGAATTTACCTTCTTGTTCATATTTTGGGTTGGTTCTTGCATGGTTTAGAGGATTGTTGGAGTTTAGAGCCAAGTTATGGCTTAAATTGTTGAATTGAAGCTTGAATACTTGAATCATGCATGCATGTACATATTCTTGCATTTTGAAGTTGATTTTCATGAAATCTTGCATGCAAGTTTACATTCTTGTTCTAGTCCATAAGTTCATCATGGTTTTGAGTTTAATCTTGTTTTGGATCATGTGTTGAGGCATTAGAATTCACTAGAATTCATGCATGTCATATGTTCTTCATGTTCATGAAAACTTCTTTGAAATTATGTTCAATTGAACTACCTTTGGGCTTTGATTTTGCAAATTAATCTTTGAAACATGTCATATTATGAGTTTTAAAGTGTTTTCCAGAAAATTAGCCCAAAAGGATCGAATTTGATGCTTTAAATGTTAATTTGGAGCTTAGAGGTTCAATCTGGAAATTCCAGAATTTGGACCCACGCTCGAGCGAGGAACTCCACGCTCGAGCGTATGCTTTGTGTTCATGCAGTCTGCTCGAGCGAGGAAAGTGACGCTCGAGCGTGAAATGCGTGTATCCAGTACATTGCATGTGTTTACAGTCCGCTCGAGCAAGGGAATGCATGCTCGAGTGAGGACTTGTGTCTCACGCTCGAGCGAGGTCGAGCGCCCGTCGAGCGTAAATTTCATGCATTCAGTACTTTTGCAGTCCGCTCGAACGAGGAAAGTCACGCTCGAGCGGAGCTCCTTTGTCTGCATGTCCGCTCGAGCGTAGAAAGCCACGCTCGAGCGAGACCCCTGTTTTTTGAAAATTTTGAGAAGTGTTATAAAGTGCATTTTTGCATCCTCATTCCATTCTAGGCATTCTTAGGCCTAGTTTAAGACATCTTAATGATGTTAATGCTATAAAACAACACCGAGTCTAGATAGGGACTAAGTTATTGTTTCCCAAACGTGCAACTTAGTGTGTGTTCATCTTGTAATTGTGTGTAAGGTTGGCATCCGAGGACGCTCACTAGCCTATCTGTAGCCCAGAACTCTGTGAGTAACAATGTTGTAAAGATATATTCAATCATGAATGATTTCTGAATGATCAACTGTACTGCTTTCTGAAATGATATTTCTTACTGAATGAATGCTTGTCCTATTTGCGAACTGTATTCATGGCATCCATAGTAATTTACTGTTACTGTATTGTACTGCTACTGTCACAGAGATCTCTGTCAGTTCCCATGTTTGGAACCACTACTGTTTACTGATATGATGGCCACCAACTGACTGTTCGGTCTGTTAAGACCTACTGTACTGTTTTGCTGTTGGATGCACCACTTATGACTGCTATGATCAAATAACTAATATACTGTTCAAATGACTGTTTTAAATACTGAAAGGATATTCATTCCTAACCTCTTTATGCATATGTTATTCACTGGGCTTTAGCTTACTGACATTTGCAATCTGTTAAACAGTTCAGCAGATTAAATGCAAATAGGTGAGAAATTAGTTTCAATTCGCCTATTTCTTATGCAATTTCTACAACAATCATAGTTATCCTCCACCGATAGCCCAAAACAGATATCTCTAAAAAGATAATTAATTTTCAACACAGATATACTTTCCAACATTTCCAATTAGGAGTGATAATTTATATCCAACTCCATCACCATCATCATCATGGTTCCAATTCCATAAAACCAACATCAATCCCATTTCCTCTTTACAAAAAGAAAATCCTCATAATTTAAGGCAAAAACCCGTTTTCTTTAAAAATCAATCTCCATGGATAAAATCCGCTATTTATTACAACCCAACCATTTTTACAAAATCAGAATCATATACAAGAACCCATTTTGAAAACCCCTCTATTGATTTTAACAAATTGGAGACTTAAGGTAGAGAATTTACCTTCTTGTTCATATTTTGGGTTGGTTCTTGCATGGTTTAGAGGATTGTTGGAGTTTAGAGCCAAGTTATGGCTTAAATCGTTGAATTGAAGCTTGAATCATGCATGCATGTACATATTCTTGCATTTTGAAGTTGATTTTCATGAAATCTTGCATGCAAGTTTACATTCTTGTTCTAGTCCATGAGTTCATCATGGTTTTGAGTTTAATCTTATTTTGGATCATGTGTTGAGGCATTAGAATTCACTAGAATTCATGCATGTCATATGTTCTTCATGTTCATGAAAACTTCTTTGAAATTGTGTTCAATTGAACTACCTTTGGGCTTTGATTTTGCAAATTAATCTTTGAAACATGTTATATTATGAGTTTTAAAGTGTTTTCCAGAAAATTAGCCCAAAAGGATCGAATTTGATGCTTTAAATGTTAATTTTGAGCTTGGAGGTTCAATCTGGAAATTCCAGACTTTGGACCCACGCTCGAGCGAGGAACTCCACGCTCGAGCGTACGCTTTGTGTTCATGCAGTCTGCTCGAGTGAGGAAAGTGACGCTCGAGCGTGAAATGCGTGTATCCAGTACATTGCATGTGTTTACAGTCCGCTCGAGCGAGGGAATGCACGCTCGAGTGAAGACTTGTGTCTTACGCTCGAGCGAGGTCGAGCACCCGTCGAGCGTAAATTTCATGCATTCAGTACTTTTGCAGTCCGCTCGAACGAGGAAAGTCACGCTCGAGCGGAACTCCTTTGTCTGCATGTCCGCTCGAGCGTAGAAAGCCACACTCGAGCGAGACCCCTGTTTTTTGAAAATTTTGAGAAGTGTTCTAAAGTGCATTTTTGCATCCTCATTCCATTCTAGGCATTCTCAGGCCTAGTTTAAGGCATCTTAATGATGTTAATGCTATAAAACAACACCGAGTCTAGATAGGGACTAAGTTATTGTTTCCCAAATGTGCAACTTAGTGTGTGTTCATCCTGTAATTGTGTGTAAGGTTGGCATCCGAGGACGCTCACTAGCCTATCTGTAGCCCTGAACTCTGTGAGTAACAATGTTGTAAAGATATATTCAATCATGAATGATTTCTGAATGATCAACTGTACTGCTTTCTGAAATGATATTTCTTACTAAATGAATGCTTGTCCTATTTATGAACTGTATTCATGGCATCCATAGCAATTTACTGTTACTGTACTGTACTGCTACTGTCACAGAGATCTCTGTCGGTTCCCATGTTTGGAACCACTACTGTTTACTGATATGATAGCCATCAACTGACTGTTCGGTCTGTTAAGACCTACTGTACTGTTTTGCTGTTGGATGTACCACTTTATGACTGTTATGATCAAATAACTGATATACTGTTCAAATGACTGTTTTAAATACCGAAAGGATATTCATTCCTAACCTCTTTATGCATATGTTATTCACTGGGCTTTAGCTTACTGTTTATATATATATGTAGGTGGCCAGGCACCGGATCGGAGTTAGGAGCGTCAGGTTAACTCCCTTTTTGTCAAGCCAACCAACGTGCCTCACTGCGAGGTTCCAAGTGCTGCCAAGCTAAGGCTGCTTTGGGGTGTTTTAGATTTCCCCCTACTCTGTCTCTGTTTTGTATAGACTGTATAGACTTGTACTGTACTGTTATGGTAGGGATTTGGTCCCTAACCCGAATGCCTGCAAATGTGTATGTATATACTGTTATAGTTTGGATGTGAATATGTTATGAAAAGTCTTTTTGCATGCAGACTGTCACAGCTCATTGGACATCTTTTAATTACTGTTTTGGTTTCCGCCAGCCCCTGTACTCTGTATTATTGTTTTACTGTTAAGCAGGCCTCGATAATCTCGGATTACTGGCCGGTTACGGTGCTAAACCCATAGGGGCGGGTTTGGGTCATGACACATTCTGTGAATCTGCTCTAGGCTATGTTTAAACAGATCCATTCAAACACTACATTCAACATGTCAATCTGTTAAAATAGATCCACAATAAAATGCTCCAGGTTATGGTTGTTCAATCTGTTTAAGATTTATCAAACAGATCCATGCAAACACTACATTCAAATTACATAATAGAATACACAAAATATGTCCATTGCATCCATTCAAGCACTACAACATGTCCATTACATCCATTCAACATGTCCATTACATTCATTTACATGATAAAGTAAAAAAATACACAAAATAAATGACATAAGTCATTGCCTTGAAAATCTTCTCTATCCTTTCAAGTCTTCTATCATGCTCACCAAGCCTTCTCCTTAGATCATTAATTTCTTCTGTTCTTATATCTGTGGAGGTAACATCATCGTCATCATCATCTGCGAACCTGAAGTAATTGCAGTGTTCGTTCGTAGTCTGTAATGCACAAGAATCGGTTAATCAAATCAGACAAATGAAATTTGTAAAAAGTGAAACATTAATTTATATAACAGATACTTACATATTTTGTTGGGCAAACAAAAAACACACGTCCTTCATTTCCATTCTCATTGGTTCGTACAATATGCATGGAAGCTATTCTTCCACAATAACAGAATCTTGGCTTTAATCTTGTGTTCCTATTATTAGTAAAAGATGAAGCCATTTTTTTATCTATATAAAAAATACCAATAGATTCAACTACCTCATACTGATGGATACACGTCCTATTGATGCATAATTATTATGAATGTTGAATACTTATGAATGTTGAATACTTATGAATGTTGAATGCATAAATTCAATGTTGATAACAAAGTGAATGCATTCATCTGATTAAAGAGTTCAATCTATTTTGTCAAATACTTATGAATATAAAGTGGCTTCCTTTAAATTCAATGTTGATAACAAAGTAAATGTATTCATCTGTTTAAAGAGTTCAATCTGTTTTGTCAAATACTTATGAATGTTCAACTCTTTACATTCTTCATAGATTCTTAAATGAATAGACCAAAGTGGCTTCCTATTATCATACAAAAAAAATCTGTTTAATGACAAAATAGTTCAATCTGTTTTTTGCTTAAACCAATGTTCAACTCCCTAACAATCTGTTTAAAGAGTTCAACGAACAGAAAAAATGATACAGTTCAAACAAAACCCTAAACAGATTTAAAGGTAATGTTAGTTATGAATCTCATACTAGAATGATCTTTCAAAGGTATCCATCTCAAACAGATGATAAAGTTGGATAACTATGAATACTTAGAATGATCTATCAAACAGATGATAAAGAGATGGATACTTAGAATGATATCCTCTGTATCCTCTGTAACCATTCTCATGAATCTGTTACTTAGAATGATCTATCAAACAGATGATAGAGTTGGATAAAGAGATAGATACTTAGAATGATCTATCAAACAGATAATAGAGTTGGATAACTATTCAAGCACAACCAAATTAAAGCCAAAACTATTCAAGCAGAGGCTAACAGATTCATGAGAATGGACACAGAGGATAACCAATCAAATATATTTTGAACATAAGTCATCATAGATGTGTATTTCAAGCAATGCTCATCTCAAATGTATACAGAAAGTATACAGAGAGTAACAGATGTGTATTTCAAAAATATGAGAGTAACAAATGAGTATTTCAAGCAATATATTTCAATGTGTATTTCAATCAATATACAGATGAGTATACAGAAATATTTCAATCAATATATTTCAAGCAAAACCAATCAAATGTATACAGAGAGTAACAGATTCAAATGCAAATCTCAAACCCTAACACATCAGAAATTAAAGCCAAATTCCAAACCCTAACACAAATTTCAAGCAAAATCCAAACCCAAACACTCTCAATCGACTAATTTCTACAAAAAATTGAAGCCAAACATCAACCCTAACATGGCTCGATTTCAGGTTTACCTCAGTCGTTCTTCATACTGCTTCAACAGACAGGTGAGAGAGGCGAGACTGAAGAGATAGCAAGAGGCGAGACTGAAGAGATACCGGTGAGAGAGAGATGAGAGTGAACGGAATGGATGAGTCGAGAGAGGCGAGAGGGATGAGGCGAGAGAGGTGAGAGGCGTGGGTTAAATAAAGGAAGAAAAAGAAAAAAATAAAAATAAAACCCAAAACGACGTCGTTTTGGGTTTCGAGCCAATTCGAGCCAACGGGATTTCAAGCCCTCAAACATTTTGTTAATAATAATAATAATAATAATAATAACAAGAAGAAAAGAGTTTTGAAAATAATTTTAAGTTGTATTTTAAAAATATATTTGGTTAATATATTTCATTCAAATCATAATTTAAAAACAGAGTTGAATTTTGAAAAGTAAACCAATGCTACCTTAATTTTCTTCATTCAATTTTTTGGAAATTGAATTTTTTATTTTTGTATGCTTTTCTTTATTTTTGTGAATATTTTTAAAATTTTAAGTAATTTTTTTACTTTTTTAGATGCAACTTATTTAGATATATCTAAAAAGTAAAATATTTTAAAAAATCAATAAATTTGCAAAATATGAAAAATATACTGAATTCTCATATATATTTTTTATATTTTTGATAGTTAGTGAATTTTTTTTTTTTAAAAAGTTCACAAATATTATACTTTTTAAGTATATTTATGTTAAGTATATCTAAAAATTAAAAAAAAATGTTTAGAATATTAAAAAAATTTAGTAAAAACAAAAAATAAAAATACAAAAAATAAAAATAAAAATAAATTTTTTCTAAAAAGTGAATCTCGAAAATCCAAACCAACGTCTAAAATACTGGACAGTACCAACCGATATTGAACACAAAACATAATACCGGATAAATAACGAAAAATATCGGCTACTTTTTTTTATCTTATATAGTGGTTTGTAATATTAAATAGTAAAAACTTATGTTCCATACTCTATTTGAAACACTTTTATTTGTATTATTTAACAGATAGTATACTCTTAAGCATCTTTTACATATAAATTTGTGATTCATAATATGTATTTTTAAATTATTAGTTACTAAATAATATTTTTAATACATATATAATATTTTTACGACACATCGGAAACAATATGTGATAACATACCTGTACGGGAAAGAAATAAATCTTCTCGTATAATCCTGTTGATCAAGTCTGTGCTCCTCTGTACGTCGTCGCTTTATCACCTGAAAACACAAACGTGAGCTAGCCGGCAGGTATGTGCCGGAAACCCCTTCGATGCCTAAGTCAGCAACTAGACAATATGCTCTGTGTATTCAGAAAGCAAAGTTGTGTTACCTCTCCAAAGGTGATGTTTGTGAGCTTTTCTAGGTTTCGTGTGGCACAATCCTAGTAGGACTTCTACTCTTCCATGCAGAGTCCTCCTAGGATTCATACTCCTGAAAGATAATGCTTATCCTTCAACACCCTCCTCACTGCTTAAACCAAGTGAGATAGTTTTTACCATGGCCGAACTCCAATATGACCGAAGTAATTACGATCACGCCAAGCCACAGAGTAGACCGAACCGTCTTTAGTTCGGCTCTCCTCTTCACTACTCCTTATCTCGGTTCCTCATGTACAAAGAATGGCGTGGTTAGACCAAGCTACCGAGTAGCAAGGTTCTAACCGGTCTAACCACAAGACGTCATGACCGGGATAACTCTGAGACCGGTCTAACTTCAAAGCGTCTTCCAACCGGCCTAACTCCAAGTCGCTTCCGGACCGGAGTAACATTACATTTCTCTCGGGCCAGAGTAACTTTGTACCTTTCTCGGGCCGGAGTAACTTTACGGCCTTTTTTATTCAGCCCTTCATATTGTGGTCCATAAAGACCCATTTCCCAGCTCGGCCCAATTTTCACATAAATTACCCTCTCAATTGCCCCTTAATTTCATCTGCGCAGCATGATAGGGATTACCTGTCTATCAGCCGAACTAAAGTTTTAAGCCTTTCCAGCCGAGCTAAAAACCATTTAGCCTTTCCAGCCAAGCTAAAACTCGTACCGGGCTCTAGCTGTCCGGTCAAAACGTCTCTTCAATCACAGCAACTGAATCGTTTCTCCTTCCCAGGACACGTGGCACGCCCTTACTGGCCTATCGCAGCTGTCACGCCGCCCTCGTACTTCGCACAATTTGAACAGTTCCCGCCTTTTGCCCTTTCTCTTTCCACAAAACAACCCTTGGCTAGAGAATCACTTACGCCATTCATTCTTCAACTTCTCTCTCTGAACCTCCATTGCTTCTTCAACCTCTGAGCTCGTGTTCTCCATTGCTGCTGCTCTCATCTCCAGTTCTTGCCTCTTCATCTGGTAAGCACTGCGCCTTTATCTTGCTTTCCTTGTTTTCGTACTTTGTTTTGGGTGTTTTTGCAAAACACTTTTTCTTGCTCTATCATGCGTTTTTTAGGAAAAACTTCATAAGAACCTCATGAACTTCATGAAGTAATCTATAAAACGGTGTTTGATCCATAATTACCATATAACCGAACTAGAAAGTAGTTTGTAGTCAATGTCCTTCTATCAGACTTTAACCGAACTAGCATTCTATGTTGGTACCAGTAGTTTCAATAAGTTAACCACTTTTTGATAGACCTCAGCCGAGGTAAACGAGCCGAACTAAGTCCGAACATAGCATACTAAAACCTTATCTTTCGAACGAGCTAGGACTTTTGGGGCTAAGCCAGCTTTCTAAGTTTTAGACCGAACTCAGAAAGCTGCCCCTAGAGGCTCAACCGGTCTGACTGAGCCTTTTATTTAACCGAGATAACGAATTGCTTGCCAAGACCGAGATATCGAACCCCCTGCTCAATCCGAGCTACTAAGCATCTTGTTGAATCCGAGACAGAACCTGTAGCATCCACATAGCCGAAGTAGGACTCCTATTTTTTACTTTTATTTTGTAGCACGGTCCAATGATCTATGCTTAACCCCTTTGTTTTCCACTTTGCAGACTTAGGTTGCCCAGGCACTCCATTGCGCGCCATACCGAGCTACTGAGCACAATTTTGCCACCGATCTAACTTATTCATAACTTATAAAATAAATGGGGAAGTATAGATTTTTAGTAAATACTCCGGGCGGTCTAGCCGAATTTCGAAAAGATTACAATATACCCGACGACGTCCACCTAATCTTAGCCGAAGAAGATGTCATACCTTGGGGAAACCAGGATTTTGTACCCTTTACCCTTCTTTCAATAATAGAAACCGGGCTAAGATTTCCAGTCCAACCCCTTATTTGTGAATTCCTTAGGCAAACCAGACTATGCCCGACCCAGCTTTCCACCAACTCCTACCGTATAATAATGGGTATAGCTGAACTAAACCGCCAAGCAGGCATCAACCTCGGTCTAGCCGAAATCTTCCACCAGTATTCCATAGGTTCGAAGGAAGACGACTGGGTGTATTATCTTAGAATACGCCGTCGACGTGAGAAAATAATAAAAAATACACCGGATAAAGACTTGAATGACGACGATTTTTTCTGGGTGTCTGGGAACTTTGAGGATCACCAAGCCCAAATTCCTGGTCGAAGCATTAATTGGAAAAAAGGAACACCTGGTATAATTACTTCAGTTTTCTTGCGTGCTTTACAATATTTCAGTTTTTAATTTTTCAGCCGAACTAACAGTTGTTTTCTTTCGTAGATTCTGCCCACCTCCAGTCTCTGTACAGCTACCCAAATCTAGCAACCTTACGCGCCGCACTACGGTATCCAGAATGTAGTTGGGCCAAGCTGCTAAAGTTCAAACCGACCTATAGATACAGCGGCCGCCGAAAAGCGAGAGTGACTGACTTTCTGCTAAAGGAGGCCCCAGAACCGGACCCAACCTTGCCAGAAATTAGACTAATTCCACTGACCGCTGAAGAAGAAATGACCAAGAGAAACAGAGTCAGGGCCCTTTTGACCGAAACAAACAGACCCGAAGTACCGCCACCAAGCCAAACCCAAGAGACCGTCGTGGCGCTGTGTAGACATCCCATTTTTGACCGTCCTTAAGACTTGGACGTCACCGTTTGAACACCCGGTGATCATCCATGTTTGTGTTCGTTTGGAGTTCTCGGAGGTCTCGGCTACGCGCCTTGCCTCAGAATCTCCGAACTCGACTGTTTAGTGCCTGGTTTTGCACCAAACACTTGTGTTTTGCCTTGGAGGGGCAGGGAATGCCTTGTAAGGCATCCCCACACATCACCGGCCATGGCCAGAGGCCACTGGCTGGTGTTTTGTTGTCATCGGCAATGTATATTGCCGGTCGGTATTCTTTGTTGCCGGTCGGCAGTACATTTTGTCAAAATGGCAATTTTAAGCAGCCGACTACTGTTCATCTGCTTTTGCAGATATTTTAATACAGCTGGCTTGCATTTTGTTCCCCTCCATACACGTGTATGGAGGGATGGCTTCCTTGTTAGCTTCTTGAGTAAGCTTTACAAGATTGGCTTCTCTATAAGAGGAGCCCTCCTCTCTTGGCTTTAGGGTTAGACATTTTAGACAGCCATTTTAGGGTTTGAGTTCTAGGGTTAGGGTTTGTCTATATCCTAGCTCTATATCTCTCTTCCTCTTGTGTTTAGTGTGTGTTTAGGGCTCACTATTACACACAAACACATAGTGTTACACCTTTTCTTGGTTCTGAAGGACTAGAGGTCTGTTCTTGGAGTTTTGGGGTTGGTTTAAGGTCAAGGAAGCAGCTAGTCCACCATTTGTGAAGAAGGTCTTCAAAGGTAAGAAGTCTGTCCCTTTATTCCCCATTTTTTCATTGTATTTTTGCCTACCTTGCAATTGTTTTTGCATTTAGTATATAACATAAAAAAGTTCTTTTTTTAGGCCCTCTAAATAGTTTGTTTAGAGTGTTTTGTGATTTGAGGTTGTTTGACCCCTCTTAGGCCTTGAGAGGCCCCATTTTGTGCTATTTTGAGTGAGCTCCGGGACATTGGTGTTTGAGCCTCCTCACCACTGAAATCTTGAGGGATTTCAGTGGTAAGGATGGTGCCTTGAGGTCCCAAGAAGGAGAGGGTCACCCCCTCTCCTTGTTGTCCTTGAAAAGCGCCATTTTTGCCTCTTTAATGAGCACCTAGCTAAGCCTCATGTTGACCATGCCTTGGC